GAAGGAGAATTCAGTTTCTTCAGATTTTTACACAGATTAAGCTTCTTGTTTTATGGGCAACTTTCACAATTTCATGGAAACACCCCCCCCTTTAAACTTTCCTCCCTCATCCACCTTAATGTTAATCAATCCTGTCTGCCTTATGGTCAAGAAAGATGTTTCTTAGCACACACATTTTGTTTATCTTGCTTTTAAAAAATATTGCTTCAACAGAAGCGACTGCATTTGCATAACACAGCAAAATTTTCAATTTCTGAAAATATATTGATTGCTTTTGAAACAGATATGGTATCTTTTAAACACAATTTTGAGTTGTTTTTACTTGGGTGTTTTTAAGAAAACTTGCACCATTCCAAAATATGTCTTTCATTTAATTATTTATTATTATTATTATTATTTTATATGTGATAAAAATAAGCCAAATTATGAATACAGAAATCAAAATAATTCTTAGATATTCTTAGTATTGAGTGTTCTTACAAAGTATCTCTTTAATCAAGCTAGATTGAAGCTGTCTTCTTTTATGAAAACCAAAAGTAGACTGATATAATGCAAAAGAATAAATTTATATCAATAATATGTTTTCTTTTTCATGAAAAGACCAGCCAAGTGTGTTTCTTTAGTCAAACTTCTTAGCACTGTCTGTAGATTAGATGATCTGAAGCAGTTGCTAATGAAGATGTGGCAGTTGCATTTAGTTCTTATAAATAAAAATAAATAATAAAAAAATCTAATGGCCATAATCGATATATGAAATGTTGTGTATTCCTGAGGTCTGCATAGCTATGAATACTTTAAAAGTTTGATGTGAGTTATACTTCCCCATCCCAGCTGCAGATAATCATTATACTCTATACCGTCAACAACGCAAAGTGATACACTGCCAGTTGGAAGACTTTATTCCTTCTGTTTAATGGAATCCTTTTGGTGCACAATGCCAAGGGCTGCTTGTTTTTCTCTTGCATGTAATACAGCACTTACCCTTCTTAACAGATTTTCTGTTTCTATTAATGCCATTTTCATAAGCAATGTAGCAGGAGAACACAGAGTTGAAAGACATGAGATTAAAATGTTGCATAAAACTCTGGAAAATTGTGCACCAAAGTCAAAGGCAGGAAAGCCTCTTATTGGAGGAGCTCATCTGTCATTATTGTAATACTTCAACTGAGGCCAGAGTTGGACGAGAAAAGCGCATTCTCCCTCGGAGAGCCTAATATCTCCCCTTGGATCTCCACACCGAACAGCACAGTTTGTCACTTCAGCATTCCAGACCTTCCCAAGGAGTGCAAGGGTAGATGTGAAAGGGGGATAATCAGGCCTCTTGACTGGTAGAAGCTTTCAACAGAGAGGAGAGGCCGGTCCTCCACATCTTGTAATTGCTCATCTTGGACGAATCAAGGAGTTTCATGTTTTCCCTATTAGTCATGAGTTGTGGGATCAATGGGCTATGAAGCAGCATGAGGGGGAGAAGGCATTGACCTGCTGGCTTGCTGGGGAAGCACAAATGTCAGTGGTGGGATGCTGCAAAGGGGAGCAAAGTTTGTACTTTGCAACATGGAAGCAGGCCAGCTACAAAACATTGGGAATGAAGACATGATTGCCTTACTCTGTCTTCTTGGTGGCAGGGGGTAATAGAGCTATTCTTGGTACCTGGTACCTACTAATGCACGGAGTGATGTATGGAGTGAGGAGCCTGCTCTAGAGTTGTAGCATGGCTAGGTAAAATCTAGCCGTTAACTGCCTTGGGGACCCCTAATCGTTTGATAGGCCAGATCATACTTTGCTTTAAGCACCCAGCTAGGGACTGGCTGCTCCCTGCGTCTCCCCTCTCTATCTGTGCCTCCTTCCCTTCCCGAGACCCACTACATTTATCGGTGCACCAAACAAGTAGCAAGGCTATCCTTGATCGGGCTTGGTGCCCTCCACAATCTGCCTCTCTGCACTCTACAGACTTCAAGCCCTGCTTGTGTTGGAGGAGGCACCAGGTTTGATGAAGCTGCAGTGTGAAATAGCAGAGCTTCACTTGCAATGCAAAATGTATAAGAGTACAACCCCCACAAGGGAAGAAGCTCTCAATAATTTAGTCAGAGGTTAAATGCAGCAAGGCAGCCTACAAACTGCACAACATTTGCTTCTGTCAATGGGTCCCAGTATGCCCTTTTCCCAGATAAGTTTGTCCTGGATGAAGAAGAGCTGTCCTTTTGCATTTACTGTTCATTTTTAGAATGTATTATCAATTGTTAATGTTATCTTTAGTTTCTTGAGCCTTTATGCTGAGGATAGGAGAGAGTTACAAAGAAAAGGCTTAGAAAAAATGTTAGGTTGGGTCCGAAGTAAAGTCTTAGCAGCTGCTAATGAGGGGCATGCAAGTATGTGTGTAGTAATACACAATGTAAAACAAA